TAGCCCCCCCCCCTCCAGAAGGAAGGACGGTGTCAGAGATGATTGGAGGATGTAAAGCCGAGTGACACAAATAAGATACATTGTTGCTCAGAGTTCGGGACTCGGAGGGATTTTTAGGGAGTTTGGTGTTTGGGGTTCATGTAACGTATGGTAGGGAGTGACCGCGGGGAGAATCCTTTGATTGGAGCAATGCGAAGCTTACACATGGGGCGGCTTCTATTCCTGGCTACTGGAGGGGGAGGGGAGTCTGCGCGGTTGCATGGAGTCAGTCTGTCGCTCGGCATGGACGAAGCAAAGAATCATTTTGGGAATAAATAATAAAAAATTTCGTTCTGTCTTTTCAGGTGATATTCGGTCCGATGTTTTCCGGGAAGAGGTGAGTCTTCCGGCATCTTCGCGTCCGCTGTGCCGGGTCACCCCGGAGGGATTCTCATGTCGTTCCTTCTTTTCGTTGCAGCACGGAGCTGATGCGCAGAGTGCGTCGCTTCCAGGTAGCGCAGTACAAATGCATCGTCATCAAGTATGCCAATGACACCCGCTACAGCAAGGAGCAGCTCGCCACCCATGACCGGTACGCAATGTCTACTTTCAGGGGGGGGGGGGGATAAAAAAAACAAAAACGACTCGTCCCAATACGAAACATTGTTGTAATCAGAACTCGGGATGCACCGATACCGGTTTTTCGGTATTGAGTACTAATATGTTGCTTACGGTACTCCGGTGCTTCCCGCTGGCATGGAGCCGGCTTCCGGGGTAATAGGGCACCGGGTAATGACATGCTTCCTGATTGCCAGGGAACCCGGCTCCATGTTGTTTGGCTTGCGTGATTGTGGTTGGCCAAGAAACTGGCTTCCCAGCCAATCAGCATCGAGCCGGCTTCCTGGCCAATCGGGAAGCTGGGCGGCGAGTAATAATCTGATTGGCCAGGAAGACGGCTCCATGTTCCTTCACGGCACTGCCTGTCAGGAAATCTTCCCCTGACTAGAAGTTCCGGTATCGGGGGAAGGTATCGGCACAGATACAGATACTAGTATCGGCGTATCCCTAATCAAAACGTATTGGTCTGCGCTAAATAGCGCTTCTCGCTGGTCAGCGCGGTCAGCTGACCACACTGAGCAATGAGTGCTTGCAATTTGCGAGCGAAATTGAAAATGCATAGGGCTGGACTGCGGTACGGGGTACAAATAGTACAAGGGTTCTGCTGCCTGGCTACCACAATGGCACACAGTGGAATGGTGTCAGTACTCAACGCACATGCACAATGTCCTACGTGTGTGTTTTAATTGCATGCAGATGGCAGGGATGGTTTTAATTTTTAAATATTAAATTTTTTTACTTTCTC